TGCAGTAGTATATGAATCRCAAATATCCTTGTACATCTGGCGATGAATTTCCAGACGAGTAGATAGGTACTTACGTTCATAACAACGTCTCTCTTTTTTCATTATCCTCAAGTTATCTGAATGACCAGTGGCATATAGTTAGTAGAGGGAGACTACTATGTCTTGCCTTAAGCTCATCAGGATAACACTAGCCCAGTCTAAAGTTCAGTACATTGCGGCCATATTAACTTTTACTACACCGCATTCTTAAATAAAATACAAGCGCGCCATTGAGGCATTTGTATTACACGTGTTTCTGGTGATGAGAATACGATGGAAATGTTTGATGAAGCAACCACGGCATAAATAGAAGTGACGGAGATTCAAAAATGTTAATAAGCCTGCAAAAACTGAACTTATTCATATAGTTTTCAAACAAACAATCTCCCCGTCACTACCTCTAGTAATGTCCAACGAATCACCGAAGCATGCACGAGCCACTAAACCATACGACGAGTTTTTGTTTTTTTTATATAATTATCCGAAGCTGTAGATGTTTTGAATATAGGTTTTCGTGCGTTAAAACATTTCACTGACATTTTTTGTGAATTTTTCAACATTTTGAAAACAGCGCACGGATTATCTCATGAAGATTCATAGGTAACTTTCCTTCGAGAATTTACCTTTTTAGCAACACCTTCTATTCCTACCAATACGATGTCTGCCTTCTATTCGCATTGTTTCGATGTCCTCATCAGCAATTTAAAGAAGTTTCATTTGCGATTTTCGAAGATCCTGTACTATTTTAAAGAAAGGAAGCCCCTGTAATTACCACCTTTTGGGATTTATAACTGTCCAAAACCAACTTAAATGAGTTGTACACTACAACCGTTTACACTAAAACTACTACCCGTCTTGGTAAAAGTGCTCTATACATTATGTAGAGCGGAATATATATATGTTTACAAGGACTATAAACTACTCGAGTTTCATGTAACTTGTGCCATCATCAGGCTATTGATCTTTGTTCGATGCTCTATTGATAGGTTTTTAAGACGTAAAATTTGTTCTCGTGCCTGCATTTGGCCACTTGTTCAGTTCTTTTGTTAAGAAGTGATGGATTCTTTTCCATAATAGAATGCACATTTTTTCGGCTAGCGCTAGACAAAGGTTGCACCTCGAGGGACGTCCATTGTAAGATTTAGCGAAATTCGATGCTGTTGTTCTTTAATTCCCATACTTGTTTGCTTAGCGTGGTTTTGTTGGACACTGAACTTGTGCTGTGTGAGCAGTGATTGTACTTTATTTGTTTGTGATCTGCATATGTGTTTATCCAGCTTTTTTCCCAGATGTGTTAAGACTATTATGATTAAGATTATTATATTAACATCATTGATGATGACTGTTGAAAWGTTGTTTATGACATCTGAAATATCACTTTTTGATGTATACTTTAGTTCTTGTTTCTAAAAACTGTGAAATTCTTGAAATGTGCTCCATAGTATTTTTTTTACTTGATTATTTTATCATGTGCCCCCTAAATAGCTTTAAAATATTTCAAGACCSCCCTTTTTAGTCTTAGAAAATTTTAAGACCCCCCATTTAATCAYTCATCCCCTACTCCCATAAAAAACGAACGGTCCCTTACACTGAAAACGACGACCTGGTTCCATAATATGTCGTAGGTTAATATTTTACACGTTTTTAGTATTGTTTTGCTTGTGAAACTTCATCGCGACCGAAATTGTCGCTAAAAATATTTCTTGAATATCACYAGTTTGAATCGACAGTTTTTTGAGAAGATTTCCTCCAGGTCTTTATTTTCGCTACACGAGAAAATGTTGAAAATTGTTAAAAGCCTAACTTCATCCCGGCTTTATTTCTTTTCTTCTTTCGGCGTAAATGGAAATACCTTTGTTTTTGAGAAGTATCGCGAAGTGAAGAGTAACTAATAAATTAAAGGATCTGAGGATATTCTAGTAACTGRATTAGCTTTATTTAGTCAATTATACACTTTGAATATTCTGATCCACGAGCCTTTGTATACAGCGATAGCCTTAGTAATCCAACTTCTGATATCTTCACTCGAGCATTAAGGTATCTGGATACAGTTGTTTAGAACTCCGACCGGGACAAWAGAAACGGGTAAAAGCGTAATTTAAGTTGGTCAGATCGTAATACTATTTTTACTACATRATTAACAAGGGATCCATATACATATTGAGCAAATTTTGTGAAAATCGGATTTAATTATTTAGTAAAATATTTTTACGATTTGACCAATTTAAATTACTTTTTTACCCGTTTCTTTTGTCCCGGTCGGAGTTCTAAACAACTGTATCCAGATACCTTAAAGTGCAAGGATTCTATAGTTACTGAACCGTTAGTTCATTTGAGGAAGACATCGTTCTCAATATTTCTCTTCTATTGCTTTGTTCTCAGCTGAGACCAACTCCCGCTTCTTGTAAATACTTTTGTAGAAATGCAACTGCATCTTGGTGAAGTTTTTCGTTGATCTTAGACATGACCTTAGTAAGAACAAAATGACAATAATTTTTTGTTTTGTTATGCAACACATTGCAGGACCTTGCAACGGAATTGCATGTACAATGAATATCCTAACTTTTTTCGCGTTGCTGAAGTTCTTTTCTTTAGAGCGGATTTTGTATCATTGTGTTCAAGTTAAAAGGTACGGGTTCACATGAAAATACTGAATCAAGAATACATCACAGGTAAGACACAGTGCGATCTCGTCAAGAMACTGGAAAGTCATACGGAATCACTCTGTTAAACGAAGCCATTTTAAGTGTTGATGTAAACATGCCTTGGAGGTCATAAAAAAATCAACCGGCAATGGAAATATATAACTTTAAAAAAAGAACAAAAAATGGAAACTGAMCTATTGACCAGGTCTAAAAGTAATATTCTTACCTTTCCAGGTTGGGCTTGCGAAAGAGTTACCAGTGACTGTACAAGGAATAACTTGGCATTGGGGATACCACCACCAAAAGGATCATTTTCGTTTTTACCAGCAAATACCAACTTGGAATACGCAGTTTGATAGCCTGAAGAAAGAGAAAATAAACTGACGTATAAAACAGATAACACACAATTCACTGTGTTGATCTTAAAATCAGGAAAATCAATCCCTTTTACTGTGCAAAAATTACGTCACTAATTCCACAAAATGTCGCATGCCAAACATTCAATAGTCTCTATACTATGCAATCACTTATATATGGAAGAATTAAGTTGCGTTTTAGAATTTATAAAAATGCGAGGAACCAGAACTGAGATAATTTTCCCTACTAAAATATATTCAGAAAGAAGTAGTGATATTATTTATTTTCGTTGGTGAGCCGGCGAGACATTTTTCTTCGATGTATAATTACCATTGCATATTACTTACCTGGTGTATCTTCGATTTCAATAAAATGTTCATCGTCTGGTACAGAATCGTCATTAGGCAATTCAAAAACTTTTACAAGTGCTTCAAGCAAAGAACCCCTGAAAAAAAGACAATTTTTAATTTACATTTAAAATTGTAAATTCTTATCTTGCTTCAATTTTGTCCAGTTAATCCCATTAACAACAACAGTCATTTTCATGTTTAAAAAATTACCTGGAAGGATTGCACTTTAAAACTCAAGACGAAACGAGAAAAAAACGTTTTTTATCTTAAAAAGGCTCGCTTTCTCTCTTTTTGTAGTTGTACTGTATAAAAAAGAGTCAAAAATGAATCCAAATTTTGGCATTGAGGTTTCTCAGGCTTTTCTTTTTTCCTTCTATGYTGAATGACAAGAAAAGTACGAACAAAAACGTATTTTTATGTCCGATTCTCTATTAATTTTACCATTTTTTTCCTGAAAATGCTACGCGCTCTGGCCATAAGTCAGTGGAAAAAAAACTCGGTCCATAAATTTCCGTACGCCCCTCGCGCTCGGTTAATAACATATTAATATATGTACAACTTTGATGGGATTGACTGTAGTATGAATTCAGATCTAAGTACAGACTAACCAGTGATCAGGATATCTGGACCAAGTCGCCGTAGGTTCACATAACAGTTTTGTAATACCAACAGCACAAACTTTGCGCTCCATGTTTCCTGATACCTAACGAAAAAGACCGTAAAACTCATATACATCACCTCATCACCATCAGATGTACTTAAATTGCTATCATCGCTATTTACCTTTTGAATATCTGGAATATAATACTTTTCAAGAATCATCCCAAATAGTCTAAACATTTATTGAAAAATGATTAAAACAGAATTTAGTSGAAAACGGTTTTAAAAACACTAGAAATCAAAGGACCTCTTGGATGCCAAGTCGGAGTAAAAAAATGTAGAATCATTTCCATTTTGCGTTTAATTTCAATCAATTGAAAAATGAACCTGGGTGATCAATGACCTGGTTTTGCCCAGGAACACATGAACTACAAAACTGAGATGTAACGCAATTAGAAGCTCAACTCTTCAATGTGCAACCAGCTGGCGTTCCATTCCGCACATTTATTGGTTCAATTTCTTTAAATTTCTTAGGCAAATGGTTTCTTAATCCTTACTTGGGCTGAATATTGTCGATGACGTCAATCAGAGCTGATCCAGAGTTCTTCACTGCAAACARACTGAAAAACTCAAGAAGAGTCTTGATAAACTTGGTTGTTTTAGAGTTTTGTAGTCGATGAAAGAGTAAAATAAATATCTTTGGCATATAATCCTGCAGGGCAGCCCTGAAAGATACCACAATATAGAATAAACGGTGGGAAATTGAAAACAGCTAGTCGAGAGTCTGTGATTTTAAACTGATCTCTTTTCACGGTTTTGCGCACTTCACATAYGATGTTCATAAACAACAATGTTTATTCAAAGGATGCTCCACGCAATTCTTTTGTTTATTTAAAAAAAGAMAAAAGTATTCGCTCTGAGTGACATTCTTTTCTCTTTCCTTTTCAGTAAGGTACACAAGATGTACAAAAAAAAAACAACCAAAACGTTTTTGCAAAWTAGGCTTAAAAAGAAGAACTTTGACTAAGATTTCAATTATATCCAGATAATATAAATTACCGGTCCATGTGCTCAATTATGCTGCTCATCAAATAAAAACCTTCGTGGTCATTGGATTTTGATGATATAAGCTTTTGAAACACACCAAGAATGGCATCCTGTAGATAAAAACATCACATTATACTYCGTGGGACAAAAAGAAATAATAACAGATCATCATTCCATACACAAATAAATTATCAAGAAACTAATAGTAAGCAAGAATTCCTTTACTGAAACCACAAAATTAACTTGGATGGAAACCAGACAAATGCTTCTTTACAAATCTTGCTTCATCACATGAAAACAATCAAAGATATTTTTTTGAATATTTTCATTTTTAAATTGTTAAAATAATTAGACCACTCGATCTCTTGAACTACAAGTTGATAGTCCATTTGGCATACTTTTTAGTATCCACCAAATCATGCGGAAAATTTGAAAAAAAAAAAGACCAGAAAGAACGATTTTGTCAGCTGTCTGCTTTATGCGATACAGTTCAGTAACCAATCAGAATGCTGTGCTTGTAATAATTGCCCATAGTGTGGTGGATTCTTTACACCCTGTCTCCTTACCAGGTTGTTATTTGCTATGATGAGTTGACTGCCTTTTTGAATGTATGCCTGCAATAGTCTCACTAATGGTGGGATATTTCCTGAAACGGTAGGTTGGTAGGGAATAACATCAATTACTAAACCACAAAATATATATATCACAGACATTCAAATAAGTTCACTGAAAAATGTGCAAGATAGGGATTTTGAAGAAAAGGGCATCMTATAAGATTCCTCTGGGATGTAAGTTAGGGAAAATGACTGGATGAAGAGTGACACCTCCTTCACACCTTCTTAGCAAGTTTCTCAGATCAATAAATGCTACTTAGCCATCAAAATTATTAGTATGTTATAAGTTATGCCTTACCAACTCTTTCCCATAGTAATGGAGTAAGCAGAGAAGGGAATAACTGCATATAAGCTTCAGGGATGTCATCCACTCGAATCTCCAACAGAAGGGACAATACTTGGAATACATATGGCATAAATTCTATGCATAGATAAATAAAAAATGAATAGTATAATAAAATAATATAATAAAAGTCTAATAGGCAATTCTGAAAACAACATTTTTTTCAATAACCTTTAAGATCATTTATCTACAGCAGATAAAATTAGGCACTGTTCTGGATAATTAACATTATTATGTTCATATATATCTCATACAAACAATATCTRGTAGTTGCAAATTATCACCTGTGACATCAGTTGTGAGAATTTGATGAAAGATTGGAAATAAAGATTCCTCAAACTTCAATACTAGTCCTGGATTTGCTTTGCATGCATTTCTGAAGCAAACAAARTASATAAAATTGTCAACAAAGAAATTATCAAGAGCCTTGCTGTTGTAGCATTGGAGCACTGTGATTGTGTTTTTAAAGGTCCATTTAGGCACTTATGGCATTATTGTGCATCATTCAGAAAATCTTTTCTCAAGTACATAAAGATCCAATACATGTTATTCCTAAAATGCAGCTGCTTGCTTTCTCAAACAGTGTGAGTCACAAACTTTAAGGCTTACCTTAAAATACAGCAGATGGTTTCAAACAAATAGTGGTTGAAGTGAGGTTTGCTTGGATTCTGTCAGAGTACAAAAAACACTTTACAGYCAATAATAAAAGAGGTATAGAAAAACAATACAGACACATTTACACTTGCGAATTTTGCACCTTCATTGTCACACAACAATTGCCACTTTGTTATTGCYMACCTCAAATCATTGTGTAACCAGCCCTGCAATTGKTATGGCAATYGAAAATCACAGCAAAGTTGCAGCTGAATTTCAAGCATGTTAAAAACTTGGGYGATGGTTACAGGACCATAGCCATGAYAAKTGCATTRCAAAAAGTGAGTGTAAACGAGTCTTTAGAATRCAGTATTGTTGGTATTGATAGTACATTATCTTGTCTAAATGTCATCTTTTCTTCAGGTTATATGCTGCTCTTCTCTTAGTGACAAAATGTCATAAAATAGCAAAAACTCTGTGGCTTCAGTTTTCACTAAGGTTATTTGCATACAAAATAGAATGCCTTTTACCTTTGCAACTGCTGTTAGCTTCTCAGTGAGTTTTGCCAAAACAGGATCAAGAACAGGTGTCACTAACTCTTGTAGCAATGACAAYGTTCTCATTATTGCTATCATAAAAAAGGTAAACAATAATCATGAGGGATATGCCATCAACATCCATAATAACAGCTATGATGTTATTTAGCGACAAAGAATTAATGACAAACCTTTCATTACATATTCATTTTCTTCAGAACCTTGGATGTTTAGAACAGCAAATAGACTTTGAATCAGGTTCTGGCTGACTTGGCTCACCTCTTCTTTGCTTATTCTATTAAAATTGAATAAAAGGTTTTTGAAATTAAGTATATCCTGCAATGTGTCAAGAATTTGCAGAGAAAATATCTGATGGAATACAGGTCAGAAATATGTATTCAGGATTAACAATAACACACTGGATATAAAGTGGATTAAGTCAACACAAAAAGCTCTCCAGACTTTCCATTCCACTTGCATTCAAAATCTACAATATACATAAATGCTACGGATTGACTGTTTTCAAAGTATAAGAAATCAATGAATATGACAATTTATTTATTTTTTCAAGGTAGCAACACCTGAAAAAGTTAAATATTAGAAAGAGCATTCAAAGACATTAGTAAAAGACTGATAATAATGCTTGTTGGTTAAGTAAATATAACACTTGAAAACTTTTAAAACCAAATGGGCAAAAAAATTCTTTTATCCCACCCTTCATCTTCAAAACTTACGGTGGGCCTCCACCAGGATTCTTGAGTGTAAAAAGTCGTTCCAAGCAATGTGCAGCATAGGTGTGTACTACCATACTCTTTGCCTTCAAATGATTCATTAAGATTGGGATTACATTGAGCAATGCATCCCTTGATAGCTGTTGAATACACACAACCATTTAAGAAATATGTTGTACCTAACCTGCATTCATCATTATAGTTGTCAGCATCATTTTCATCATCATATTCAATCATGGCCATACAAACAACAATCATTGAAATGATTTAAACTRTAAAATWGGGATAAACCCAATTGCAAAACATTGTCAAAAAAAGCATTTTGGGAATTAACCAAAATGGAAGAGACAGAAGTTTCACTCCTTTTGTCTATTGGCTAATGTTTCTAAATCTCAGGAAAATGTTTTGCAATCAGGTGTATGATATGAATATAAAATTCTAAAACTAACTACTCATTTTGAAAATACAACAACAAACATATAACAGAAGCAG